GGCCGGCTGTGGCCATTTGGTTTTAATTGGATACTGTCTCTTTAAATTTCAAGGAGATCTGTGCGCATGCGTAGTAGAATCCTCCGAGGGTGGGGCTGGGCTGCCCACTAGCTCAGGCACCCCTATAGTCACCAGAATGGAGGTGTGCAGACAGCAAAGGACCAATGAACAGATATCGAAAGAAAAGAATGTCCACACTTTTGTCTCAGCAGTTCTGCCAAGCGTCTGTGGCAGCTCCGATTCTTCCCCCACGTGGTCTTGCCCAATATGGTGGCTTCTGGAGCAGTCGAGCGTCCCGGACTAGAAAGCAATAGATTTCTTGCTTCTGCCACAAATTCCCCCAGCTGTGAGCCTTCCAACCTTTTAAATATTCCTTTATATGTGGTTTGGAGTTCTGGGACCATCCCCTGAGCTTGCTTGGCCGGGTATTCTGTGTTGTTGTTGGAGGAGCTCTTTGCTACGTGTCCACCTGATCTGCCATCTTGTTTGTTCTGCCTGTGGTTAATTTTTGACTCATCCTTGTACTATGTAAATACTTCTAACTGTGTGGATCATGACAAGTTATGGATAACATTGTGAAGAATGGGTGTTCTAGAACACATAATAATGCTCATGAAAACTTGTACATAGACCACGAAACAGTTGCTTGAACAGAACAAGGGGATTCTGGATGGTTTAAAATCAGGAAAGGTGTGCACTAGGATTGTATACGTTCCACCATACTTATTCAGTCTGAATGCTGAGCAAGTAATCCGAGAGTGGCATCAGGATTGGAGGAAGACTCATTAACAACCTGTAATATGCAGATGATATCTATCTAACCTTGCTTGCTGAAAGCAAAGAGGACTTAAAATACTGATGAAGATCAAAGACCACAGCCTTTAGTATGAGTTACACCTCAATATAAAGTAAACAAAAATCCTCAAAACTGAACCAAGAAATAACATCATGATAAAGGAAAAAAATTGAAGTTTCCAAAGACCTCTATCAGCTGACGTGGAAGCAGCAGTCAAAAAATCAAACGACATATTGCATTAGACAAATCTGCTCCACAAGGCCTCTTTAAAGAGCAAAGATGTTATTTTGAGGACTAAGATGCACTTTACCCAAGTCATGGTATTTTTCAGTTGCCTTATATCCATGTGAAAGTCAGGCAATGAATAAGGAAAACTATAGAAGAATGAATGCATTTGAGTTACGGTGTTGGAGAAGAATATTAAAGGTGCCGTGGACTGCCAGAAAAACAAACAAATCTCTTTTGGAAAGAGTACAGCCAGAATGATCCTTAGAAGCAAGTATGTGTAGACTTCATCTCTCATACGTCGGACTTATCAGAAGGGACAAGTCTTATAGAAGGATATCATGCTTGGTAAAGTGGAGAATCAGCGAAAAAGAGGAAGACCCCCAATGAGTTGGATTGGCACAGTGACAGCAGCAATGTTCAAGCATAACAATTGTGAGGATGGCACAGACGTGGAAAGTATTTTGTTCTGTTGTGCATAGGGTCGCTATGAGTCGGAACTGACTCCTAGTACTGTACGTAACAATAACATGAACTAAAGAACGGCAAATGGGTAAGAATCAGTATTTATTTCAAAACTGGATCTGTTATAAATAGTTATAATTATATCTGTAGAAAATATTTGTATCATTAGCAAAGGGGATCTAATTTGGTAACTATTAAAAAGGAGCTATATTTTGCTAATAAATCTTGACACTTTAAAAAGTAAATAATAAAGAAAATAACACAAAAGGAGGGGGGCATGATTCTTAAGAAATTTGGGAGTTTTTTGGAGGCTATATTTTTATGAAAGAGAGAACTCCTGACTCGTGCTTTATGAAAGAGAGAACTCCTGACTCGTGCTTCAGAGGCAGTGCTTTCTCATCAAATGGAATGCAGAAAGGACCATGGGGCAGTTGTCAGTTGCACTTGGTAAGATTGTGTTCTGGCAGAGCTGGGTGTGGGGTGAGTGTTGTAGGTAGATGAGGACACAGATCATAAAGCACTCACATGTTTCCCTTTTTTGTTACAGAAGGACAAGAGGATGCTATTTTGTCATATGAGCCAGTGACACGGCAAGAAAGTAAGCCACCTTCTGAGAGTCTTGCCTTCTTGCTGTTCTCTTTGTCATGGGACACAACACAGTGGTTCGCTGTGGCAGCCAAGAGGAGACTTTGGGAGAATTGGGACGCATGACTCACTGCACATCTAGCCCCTGGGCTCCTCCTACTTCAGCCTAGTATTTTAGGGAGGGCTTCTTCAGTGTGCACCTCTCACTATACTTTTGCTTCCTCCAGGTACACCTTCCAAAGGACAGGACAGGGTTCCAGGAATACAAAATTCTAGTTCGTTGGGTATAACTGCTGCTAAAAGAGAGGTCCTGGTCCTCTTCATTGGCTGTTCTTTTTCAGCCCAGCTGCTGGTTTCACTCCAGTGATTTACCCTGAATTTGTTGGGCATATCTTAGTTTCCTGGTGGTGGTGGTTATGTGCTGTGGAGTCAGAACCAACTCATAGCAACCCTGTACAGGGTTTCTGAGGCTGTAAATCTTTATGGGAGCAAAAAGCCTCATCTTTCTCCTGCAGAACAGCTGGTAGTTTTGAACTGCTGACCTTAAGGTTCACAGCCCAATTCGTAACCACTATTATACCAGTGCTGCCCTAATGAAACTACCACTTATGGATGGCTCTTAGCTATAGAAATGTTATTGTCTCATGGTTTTGGAAGCTAGAGCCCAAGGCATTTCTTGATATTCCTTGGCTTGTAGAGGTCCCTCACATGTTCTCTTCCACCTCTGTGTATGTCTCTGTGTCTTATTCCCCTTTATAAGATGCCACTGAGAGGCAATTAGTCTTAGAATCTACCCTACTCTGGTATGCCCTCATTAACATAACAAAAGTTTTCCATTCACAGGTGCAGAGGTTAGCACTTAACCATTACATATATATATATATATTTTTTTTTTTTTTTTTTTAAATTTTTATTGTGAACTCAGTGATAGTTTACATGGGAGAACATTGGCTTTACACCATCGTTTCATTGCAATGATTACAATCTCCTCTGTGCATTTGCTTCCATTCCCTCTGGGTTGTTTTGGGTTTTTGGGGGGGAGGGGGATAATGATTCAATTCATAACAGACTGGGAGATGATCCTGATTTCAGACTTGCCTTAGATTTGGATATTCTCAAAGGCCTTTTAAGGCAGTTGTAAGCCTTAAATTCTAGTTACAGTCAGAAACTGACCATGGGTGCCTCACTCTATCTGAGCTGTGGCTCCAGGGCAAACTCTGAGATAGAGTAGACTGATTGGTGGGAGCCTCTGTTCATTATTTCAATGCTCTTCTTCTCCAGTTCACTATGCAAGGCCTGTGATCATCTTGGGCCCAATGAAGGACCGAGTCAATGATGACCTAATCTCGGAATTCCCGCATAAATTTGGATCCTGTGTGCCACGTAAGAACCCAGGAAGGCTTTGGGAGTGAGGCATTGATGCCTGGGGAAATTGTTACTCTGATGATTTATGGAAAAGGTCTAGATCAGACTCTAGGGTTATCTTGAAACTGGGTCACATATAGAAGAGGTTATGCAATAATAGAGTCTCTAAAAGCTGATAGGTTGGGAGGACTAAGATGGCTGGCTTCATTGAGTGGTGATAGTTGTACTTGATAAGAAAAAAGTGAAGCTTCAGCCAAAATGATGGTGTGATGGGATCAATAGTTTGTTAGGATCATTTAATTCCATACCAGATTTGGCATCTTTTGCCAGGCTTTGGCTAAGGAAACCTCACTTTCCTTGTCCAGTTTAAGCAAAGAATCTTCTTGTGTGTGGAGCCTGGAAGTTGAAAGAGAAGTAGGCAAGCTAAACTTATTCTCAACTGCTTTTATTTCCCCATTCCTCTGGAAAAAATTAGAGTGGCCATGTGGCCCAGGTGAGAGAAGAATTGAGTCCGTTTTTTGGGTTGGCAAAATTCATTATCCTTGGGGCACACAGCATTTCCTTTCTTCCTTCAGATACTACCCGACCTCGGCGTGATAATGAAGTAGATGGACAAGACTATCACTTTGTGGTATCCAGAGAACAAATGGAGAAGGATATTCAGGACAACAAGTTCATTGAGGCAGGCCAATTCAATGATAATCTTTATGGGACCAGCATCCAGTCAGTCCGGGCAGTTGCAGAGAGAGTAAGTAGAGCAGAGTTTCCTGGGTTAGATAAGCCTCAAAGGGAAGATAGAAATGGCTCAATGAAGTCCCACTTGGATTCTCATCTTTTAAACACAGGTGCTACTAAGCTAGGCCAGCCTCTTGGTGAAGGTGTCTGTCCCCTTTATGCAACTCAGTCTAGAAATTTGCTCACCAAAGAATAGGGAACTCTGCAAACATGGCTTTACAAGCTAGTTGGAGCAACATATGGGGCCTGGGTACCTGAGGGATAGGATCTTCTAGACCACTAGGGTCCTGGTGAATGTTTGGAATGCCACTGGATATCTGCTTGGGGTTGGGGGGAACAGGGATTGGGTGGAGCTGATACAGTCTCTGCTTTTTCAGGGCAAGCACTGCATCTTAGATGTTTCTGGCAATGCTATCAAGAGGCTGCAGCAAGCACAACTTTACCCCATTGCCATTTTCATCAAGCCCAAGTCCATTGAAGCACTTATGTAAGTGTTCGCTGAGACTTAGAAACTCCCAGCTAGGATGGGAACCTGGAAAAGAAATGGAGAATAAAGTGATATGTGGGCAGGGGTGGGACCCACTGGAAGGTCTGAGAAAAGTCTGTAACCCAGCTTGGATGACTGAGTGCTACTTCTGTTTTGAGAGACTGTGCATTTCTTTCTGAGAGGGCTTCTGGAAGGAGTTGAGCCATGGGCTACTATTGCTCTGGGAGGGCAACTAGGCAGATTTTCAGGGAGCCTCGAGCAATCTTTTTTTTTTTTTTTTTTTTTTTTTTAAGTTTTGTTTGAGCTCTGATCATTCAGTCATTGAAGCCAGGACAAGTGGGTATTTTTTTTAAGGTTTTTATTGTGGATTGAGTGAAAGTTTTCAGGGCACATCATCGGTTTCACATTCAAACATTCATATACCTTGTTCCATTACTTTGATTATAATCCCCTCCACATACCATCAGTTAACAGAGTTTCTCTCTATCCTCTTTAGCTTTTTTTGGGGGGGCGGGATGGGGGGGGACTGCCTTTTTGGAATTTACAGTCTCGGCTTTTAGAGAAGGTTTTTACATTTATCTGTGGGTATCCAGGGCTCATGTATGGGATTACTAACCAGCATAACTGAATAATCAGATAAGGGACGTTTTGCTATGTCTGCTAGGTGGCTAAAGTCTGATCCTTAGAGCCTATGGTTTGGACGGTCAGCAACGCTTGGGCCCACAGGGACTTGAACTCCTGACCGGGTCTGCACGGTCTGCATCAGATTCCCCCTTATTTATTATTTGTTTAAGGGACGTCGAGCAATCTTTTATATTAATCAAAACAAAGAATCTAGTTTGATACTACTTTCCTTCTGTGTCATTTTTTGCAGGGAAATGAACCGACGGCAGACATATGAACAAGCAAATAAGATCTATGACAAAGCCATGAAACTGGAACAGGAGTTTGGAGAATATTTTACAGGTGAGAAGCCATGTTAGGAGTAACAATGGCAACAGTCAGAGATCTCTTTCTATAAGTGTCTCAAAGAGGTGTAGACACCTTGCACGGGGTTTCTGGATGCTTTTGAATGCAAACCTTTCCAAATGATTCAAATTCCCTGCATCTAGCCATAGTACTTATGCCATTTTATAGTCTAAACCACCATAACAGCTACGACCTTATGTTTTTTGTTGTCTTTTTGTCCCTACTAAGTTGTAGGCACCTTATTTACTTTGTTTCTCTACCTCCTAGTCTCCCCTATTCTCCAGGCCAGTATTTGCTTTGCATGTTTTAGGTGCTGAATAAAGTTTGTTGAAGATGATGAACACCAGGGTGTGGTATTCAAGTTGTCTGTCAGCCTGTGTGTGTGTGTGCATGTGTGTGTGGTTATACTGTCACTTACTTTAGAAGTTCAGTTCCTAAAATCTGAAGAAAGCTTCAGTTCCTCACCTTTTAAAGTACAGTAACATAATCATGTAAGTGCAGGTTGGAACTGAGTAAATTCTAACTGGTAGGTTAACTGGGAAAATAATTCATAAATCTGCTCATAATTTGGAGTCCTGGTATGGTGCTATAGGATAAGCACTGGAATGCTAACCATAAGTTCAGCAGTTCAAACCCGTAAGTCACTCCTTAGAAACCATGTATAGGGTTTCTATGAGTCAGAAACTACGACACTGAACAACACCTCATACTTTGGGTCCTTGGAGCTCACTTTACTGTTACCATCTGTGTCCTTGTTCCCTGTGCTGACCTCTGACCTAGAGCAGATGTGAGGGCCTCCAGGAGCACTGTCTTCTTGCCCGAAATTGTGGCTTTCAGCTCATTCTGTGGTTACCTGGGATTTTCCCAATCTTTTAGCAAGGCTGCTTTAGAATTGCAAGCTGCTAACTTTGGGATAGCCAAGAACAACATGAATTGTAAGGTCTGGCTTACAGTGGTGCTCAGTAAACATTTTTTAATAAGCACAGTTTTCTATTCATTGCTGGTTAGTCTCACTGTCTCTCAGTGAATTGACTTCAGACCCTAGGCTTGGAGCTCCTCACCAGTTTTTCTTCTTGCCCTCAACTGGCTGATAGCCAGCAAATCAAACCAAAACCGCACTCTGTGAGTATGTTCTTCATGCCTGTAGGGTAAGTTATAGGCATGTTGGGAAAGATTGAATGCTGGGTTTTGGGGGCCTCTTGTGGACCACAGTAATCATTTTGTTTTCCTCTTTATTTTAGCCATTGTACAGGGTGACTCACTGGAAGAGATTTATAACAAAATCAAACAAATCATTGAGGACCAGTCTGGGCACTACATTTGGGTCCCATCCCCTGAAAAACTCTGAAGAGTCTCCAACCATTCTCTTGTGAACAGAAGAAATCAAGTCCCTCTTCCCTCCTCCCTCTTCATTCCTATCCCCATGGGGAGAACAAATGACTACTGTTCTTGTCCCCTTTTTAGATTTGTCCAACAAAAAATATATATATATATTGAGTTTTCTAGTCCTGTTTTTTTGTTTTGTTTTGTTTTATTTGAGTTATTTTTGGGATGATGCCATCTCACTCATCATGTGACTGTGCCCATTCCTGCATGGACTTTTCCCAAGCACTAGCACAGGTGCAAATCCATCAGAATCATTGTTTTCTTAAAAATCAAGCAGAAGCGAAGAGAAGAGAGGAGGACTTATGGAAAGACAGACTCTGGACAGCTACACGGATTGTGAAATGAACTATGTGCACATGATGAGATGCTCCTGGGGCATTTCTATATCTCTGTATTGCTGTCTTGCAGCTATGAACAGTATACTTAATGGCAACAGAAAGTATCTTATATCTATATCTATATATCTATATATAT